TTACAGAAGATGATGATGAAATTGTCTTAATGATTAAGGAGCTTTTAGACACACGGATCAGGTATGTTTATATTGTTTTGATTCAACATAGACTATAGTTTAAACTTTAAAGGCTTGTTTTTGTTTTTTTTGTTTTTTTTAAATGAGTACTTTTTCGAGCAAGGATTCATTAAACTGATCCAAAGTGATATTAAAGACATTTATAATGTTACAAAAGACTTTTATTTAAAATAAATGCTGTTATCACTTTCATCAAAGAATCCTAAAAAAATGTATCAGTTTCTACAAAAATATTAAACCGCACAACTGGTTTCAACATTGATAAGAATAAATGTTTTTGAGCATATTAATTTCTGAAAGATCATGTGACACTGAAGACCGGAGTAATGATGCTGAAAATTCAGCTTTGCCATCGCAGGAATAACTCTCAACTCACTTTTATTGTCACTGCAGCATTTACAAGTAAATGATGTGTGAAAAGCTTAGGTGCGTGTTCCAGACATTGCACATATGAGAACAATACAATTAACAGTGGTATACAATATACATATATTCAATGTACACGTATGTACAGATATGCACAGTGTTGTATATATAACAGATGAATAGATATACATATATACACAGACAGTACTGCCATTAGCACCGACAATACAATACGTAAAACATAATATACGTAACATCAGGAAATGTACTTATGGTAGGCATATACATAGTATATATAATGTGGATGTGTATGTTGTATTGTTATATTAATGATATATTTGTGCAACAGTTGTAGTGCATTAGTTGTAGTTTAGCAGTCTGATGGCCTGAGGGAAGAAGCTGTCCTGCGGTCGACTGGTGCGGGCCCTGATGCTTTTATAGCGTCTGCCTGATGGCAGTAGTGAGAGGAGACTGTGACTGGGGTGTCTAGGGTCTTTGATTATCTTCCGGGCTTTCCTCATAAAACGAATGTTGTAGATGGCCTGGGGGGAGGGAAGCTCACCTCCAGTAATGTGTTGGGCCGTTCGTATTACTCTCAGCAGTTCTTTGCGGTTTGCAGCAGTGCTGTTTCCAAACCAGGTGGTGATGGAGCCGGACAGGATGCTCTCTACAGTGCATGTGTAGAATGATCTGAGGGTGCTGGAGCCCATTCCAAATTTCCTCAGTCGTCTCAAGAAGAAGAGGCGCTGTTGGGCCTTCTTCACAACTGCTCGGGTTTGTTCTGACCATGTGAGGTCATCGCTGATGTGGACGCCAAGAAATTTAAAACGTTTGACTCTCTCTACCGGAGTTCCATTGATGGTGATTGGGCTGTGTTCTCTATTCTGTCTCCTGAAGTCCACAATGATCTCCTTGGTCTTAGAGACGTTGAGAGAGAGGCTGTTCTCCTGGCACCAGTGTGTTAGGGAGTTCATCATTCGTGATCAGACCTAACACTGTTGTGTCGTCTGCAAATTTAATGATGACATTGGAGCTGTGTGGCCACGCAGTAATGGGTGTAGAGGGAGTACAGAAGTGGGCTGAGAACGCAGCCCTGGGGAGCTCCAGTGCTGAGGATCAGTGAAGAGGAGATAGTATTTTCCATTTTGACCATTTGACGTCTGCCTGACAGGAAGTCCAGTATCCAGCTGCACAGTGAACTGTTCAGACCCAGAGCCCGGAGTTTCACATCAAGCTTGGATGGCACTATGGTATTGAATGCTGAACTGTAGTCTACAAACAGCATTCTCACATATGTGTTTTTCTTGTCTAGATGAGATGAATAAATTACATTGTGAAATATATTAAAATAGAAAATAGTTTTTAATATTTTAAATTGTAATAATTTTAAATTGCATCCTCATCACAAATTCAATTTTCATTCCAAAAAATATTGAAAGCATGTTTAATCTTTATTATTTCATGTGGCTTCTTTTTATAATTATTAATTTAGAATTTTTTTTGAATGTCAATACTAGCCATAAGCATGAAAAGCTTTTAGTGCAACACAGTAAAATGACTGTATATATGGACAGGACATTTAAATTAGTAACTAGTTATGTATTGAAAGTATTGAAAGACCAGCATAGTTCAGTGCTTTGAATTGTTTTTCTTCCCATGCTCCAATACATTATGGTGTACCCCAGGGCTCCATTCTGGGTCCTCTTCTGTTTTCATTATATATGCTTCCACTTGGTCATATTATTCAGAGACAATTTATCATACCACTTTTATGCCGATGACACTCAGCTCTACTTTCCTATCAAAAATAATAATGGTTCTGTGTCTGGCCTGTTTGACTGCCTGTGTGACATAAAATGTTGGATGGACATGAACTTCTTACAGCTAAACAACGACAAAACCGAAATAGTTATCTTTGCCCCACCAGATATGACTCTGACATAGTTAGTCAGTTTGGTTCTCTATCTTCAAATGTTCATGACAAAAATCTAAATCAAAAATCTTGTTTCGATAAGCAGATTAGTGCTATTGTTAAGAGTAGTTTCTTTCAGCTAAGATCTATTGCCAAAATCAAGATGATGCTCTCTAAGGAAGACCTTGAAACTGTTATTCATGCATTTATTACCTCAAAGTTGGATTATTGTAACTCTTTACACCTGGGTTTGCCTAATTCCACTGTAAATCGTCTGCAGATGGTTCAAAATGCAGCAGCCAGGCTTTTGACTGGCACTAAAAAAGTATCAGCACATTACTCCTGTGCTTGCCTCTCTCCACTGGTTACCGGTTAAGTCCCGGATTGATTTAAAAATTTTGCTTTTTGTTTATAAAGCTTTACATGGTCTTACCCCTCAGTATATCAGTGATCTTCTTGTCCTGTACAATGCCTCAAGATCCTTACGTTCTTCCAGTCAACTTCTTCTTTCTGTTCCTCGCTCACGTTACAAAACTAAAGGTGACCGGGCTTTCTCGGTGGCTGCTCCCAGACTCTGGAACAGTCTCCCTCTCCATATTAGATCTTCCCCTTCTGTTTTTTACTTTTAAATCTTCCCTAAAAACGTATCTGTATTCTTGATTAATTGTATTAATTGAGGGTGTTTATATTTTTACATTTGTCTCCAAGGTTTTGATCCAGTGTGTTAATTCTGTTTTAATTTTGTTCTAATTTTGTTTTAATACCTATGTACAGCACTTTGGTTGCAACTTCTGTTGTTTTGAAATGTGCTTTATAAATTAATAAACTAAACTAAACTTTCTTTAAGACCCACGGTTCAGGAGGATGGTGGCGATGTCATATTCAAAGGCTTTGAGCATGGCACAGTGAAGCTGAAGCTGGTTGGCTCCTGTACGGGATGTCCCAGCTCCACAGTTACCCTAAAAAATGGCATCCAGAACATGCTGCAGTTTTATATACCTGAGGTGGACGAGGTAGAACAGGTGAGAGATATAAATCCATCAGTTATTCATGAGAACATCTTTTGCATATTTAACTACAGTGATCATGACTTTCATTATTCATTATTGCATATTTTTCCATTTAACAAGGTCGAGGATGAAGTGGATGAGATCAACATGAAGGTGTTTGCAGAAGTGGAGAAGAAATTGCAAGACTCGTAGCATAAGACCCAGCTCTGCTGTCCACATATTTCAATTTGCTATTGTTGTGTCATAATTATAGTGGGATTCAAACACTCCATAAGGCAGCTGTATATTTAAGGTGCAGAATCTAGAATATAATGTTATATTTAACCAAGCTCAAAGTTGTAAGTTTTTCTGTTACTAATATAATAGTGCAATATTGTGATTGCAAGTACCAGACAACTGCACTTTTCCACACCTTTACGTGCTCTGACTGGCACTCATCTGCACTCGCTGAGTTCCAAGGTTTGTTACTTGTCTGAGAGAAAAGGTTAAATTGAAGACAGTTATGCTTTTAATTACTATGCTTATTGAACATTGCAATTTCACCTAGATGTCTGGTGAGTGCAGTAATTAAGTAGGAGTTATTTTATAGCAGAAATACAATGCTGTGTTCCTGATACATTCTCAAACCTGAAATGACCACTTGAAGTATTGCAGATCTTCCACAGCTCTAAGAGTCTTTGAGAATGAGATCAGTTGTGAAAGTCTGTATTCATGATCATCTACAGGTGCCATCCAGCAGTTCTGGCAGACCTATAATTAAATAAAACAGTTGTGTATAAATTAGTGATGGTCTTGGTGTAGATATGTGTCCTACTGTTTACCACTTTTCTCCCCCTTGGGTTAAAATAGTTTTTAAACAAATTGTTGAACGTGCATTTTTCTGCATTTTGTTCTGTTTAATCTTTTTTTTTCTCTATTTTTTATTTCAGTGTAAAAAGGTCAACATATTTATGAACTAACGTGTTTCATGAATTGCTCCAGAATTATACATTTAAATATCTAATATAAAAATATCCAGAGACAGTCCTTTGAAGCACCTAACAGCATTAAATCGTTTTGGGATATGAGCATTACACATGTGGAATTTTGGAACTAATTCTTAAATTGCAAGTTTTTTTTTTTATGGACAGCAATTTTTATTTATTCATTCATTCAGTTAGTGAGTGTGTTTTACTTTACAAAAACAATTGGACTATTGTCTTGTTTCATCATAGAAATTATTTTAGGAACTTGAAACCAAAAAATCTAACTTTCAGGGGACATTTAAACAGTCTTGCCTGTTTACTACTAAGTCATTGGAAAATCCTAATTATTATTATTTCATTTAACTTTGCAAGCAACACAGCATAATGAGAAATAAATAATAAAAAGTGTTAATTTCTGAAAACAATGTGCCTAAACAGTCTACAGTTCCAGCTCGTCTAAAAACATGATTTGAAGCCAAATGATTAAGTAATAATATGACTAATAATAATAAAAACATCGATTTAGTTATATATGTACTACATATAACATATACATAACATATTATGTAGGATTGTTTGGATTTGCTTCAGTATGCGGCTGCGGCACTGTCACGTTTTCCCCGATCCTGGATCAGCGTTGCACGAAGCGTCTCAAGCGAACTGCGCATGCGCTTCATCCAGATTTCAGTGTCTACCGGTGAATGAGAGACGACGGAGGGTAAGCAGCAACAATAACAGCTAAGCTTGCATGCTTACATACTGACTGAAGTTTTGTTATTTTATTAATGCTTCGTCATGCACTCGACTGTGTGTTATTCTGCGCACACTGTACACACTTCTGAGGTGTAAAGGAGACTAGTAAGTGCGTGGACAGAACACTAGACAGTGTGCTCATGCGAGGGCCCGGATCAGACAACATAGCACTGCTGAAAAACAAAACACTGCAGTCAGCACAACTGTGCTTTACATACTACCTCTGAGACTGTTGTTTAGTTTAAGTTAATACGCCTCGTAGTGGTTTTATGAGACATAATAACAAGGTTGGTTTTAAATGGTTTGGTGAGTGTTGTTGTGTTGCAGCGTTAGCTGCTTAACGTTAGCTTGCTGCATTGTTGCATTGAGAATACGTTGGTGTGCTAAGCTAGACTAGTGCAGATAAAAAGATTGTGTGGTAAAATTTATTATTTGGGTCTTCAAACAAAGGTCTTAAAGCAGTTAATGTTTCTTATTCGCTGTTTATCTGGACTTAAACTGAGTTTTAAAGCAGGGAGAGGTTGTAAACAGTCTGCTGGTGTTCTGGAGCGGACAGATGGCATTGGCTGAATGGCTGATGGTTTCAAAAACTAGTAAGCTCCCTAAATAGACAGCATGTCCGAGTTTTTTTTCTTTTCTTCTTATTTTTTTTACATTAAGTTAACAATCTTGCTCTTAATTATCAGTAAATTATATAGATCTTCTTTTAAAGCTGCTACTACTATTATTTTTAAATGAAATATATACATTTAACAAAAGTCGTTACTTTCTTTGTTTGAAGGAATTAAAAAAATAAGTACAATAATTTTGTTACAGACAATTTAGTGAGGTGACCGAGGGCATTAGCTGTGTTTAAAAGTCTAGAAAGATCCCTAACTTGGCAGCATGTCCTTCCGAGTCACTGTCTTCTGAGATAATGTGGAATTATTGAAATTAAATTAACAATCTTGCAAACACAGCTCTCAGTTGTCTGTAAATGAAACAACTTCTTTTACAGATTTTTAAAATGGTTTTAGGCTTTAATAGTAACCTAAATGTGTTAACTATTAAAAAACAGAATAATTGTAAGCTTGATTATTTTAATCCATTAACAGCTCCACTTTATGTTTCAGCAGTTGTAGTAATAATATATCATGTAGTTTATATATGGGGACCTTTTTATTGTTGTCTATGGCAGTAGGGGTGTTAAAGTTACAGAGATAAAAACCACTGACTTTGTATGTCTTGTGATTATCAGTAGTGTTGTCTTGGCGAACAGCAACTATATTTCAGTTTCTGTTTATACAGTTTTATGCTTGTAGTTATAGTAAGTTTAATTACCGACCCCACAGGAAATAATCTGCCACCTGGTCCAGCAGAAAACGTGAGCAGGTCTCCATGGCCCAGTTCGGGGGGCAGAAGAACCCTCCGTGGGCAACTCAGTTTGCCGCAACAGCGGTTTCACAGCCCGGCCACTCAGGACAGTCACTGGACCTGAACAGTTTACACTGTAAGTCATCATAATTCAGCAATATACTTATTATTGTCACTGCATTAAATTCGCTTTCAATTACAAATAACTAAATGTTACTATATAAACATGCATTCATAATTTCTAGCTTTATCTTATTGTGAAGGTCAAAGCTCGAGATGTTTTTTTTGGGGTTTCATTGGCTGGTCAAAGTTTGCTTGTGCTTGTTTGAATGTTGTTGACAGCAGTTGCAATGTCCTTACAATCTCACACATGCCTCCCATAGCTTTAGGAGTACAGCAGCCGTCCCTCTTGGGAGTGTCTCCTATGTACACCCAGCAGTCGGCTTTAGCGGCAGCCTCCCTCAACACACAGTCAGCTGCCAACTACCAGCTCTCTCAGCAGACCGCAGCGCTCCAGCAGCAGGCCGCTGCTGCCGCTGCGTTACAGCAGGTGAGATCCTGGCTGTGATCCATCACCGTAATGCAGCTGGAGTAAATGCACAATAAAGCCTTTGGCTATTTTTGGAATAGCATACTAACATGCTAAATTAGGTACACTGTGAATAGTATGCAGTTATCCCAGATTCACACCGAATAACAATCATTTTCATTTCCAGTGTGATGAATGATTTGAAAGCAATTACAGTGGCTTTCAACATAATTTTCCCCCCTTTTTTTGATAGGATTGCCAAGAATTATTTCGCAAAATGTGACAGCAGAGTAGCATAACACTGTTTAAAGCATTTATTGTTGAATGCTAGGTAGTATAGTAAAGGGCTGCATGATTTGGGTGGGAAAAAATAATTTCTTTATTATTTTCTGGGGAAAAAAATGTGATTGCAATTTAAAATGTGATTTAAAAAAAAAAACAAGTTTTCTGTGCTTGTTTGTGGGACTGCGCAATTTGGACAAATTTTTGTGATTTATATATCAGTAAGACTATAACAATAACAGTAATAATAATAACCATATAAATTATTATTATTATTGTTATTATTATTATTATTATTATGAGTATTATTATTATTTTTTTATTATTATTAAATAAAAATATAAACATTACTAAATAACAACAAAATACATTACTGTTGTAATATTTCACTGTTGAACAAAAAAAAGAGTATTTAGGAAAATAATACAGTCATAATACATTTGTTTTTATATTACAACCTTAAAAGTACAATGATATTTATGGCTGTCTTAATTTCTTCATTTTCAAACGGTAAACCATCAGACTTCTATTTTGATGGAAAAAGACATTAATGATTCTCTTAGATTGTTAAGCACTTCTCATCACAAATATGGAAAGATTTTTGCCAAATGTTGCATTCCCAAATGCACGTTAAACCCAAACTCAGACTAGATGCAGAGATGGAGTTTGTGCACCAGCATTGTGAACCAAGCCACTTACAATACCACGCTTCACTCAGAAACATGCAGCACGTATGCTTATGTAATTAAATCTCAGCCCTTGATATTTGATAATTGCACTAAGCTATAACGTAATTTTGGTTTTATTTCAGTTAATCATGCAGCCCTAGTATAGTACCTATTATCTTCCAAAAATAGTAGTAGTTATACAGTGTATACTCTGCACCTAACCCAATCTCATTCTTTTCACTCCAGTGCATAAAGTGCTCCCTCCATCATTCTGAATTGTACTCATCTGCATTTCTAGCGTGCTCAGTGTTGGAGTGCTGCAACCTGAGCCCTTCCCCCAGCCTGCAGTGAGCAGTCTTCAGTCACTGGTGTGTTTTATTTTAGTCGCAGATCAATTCAGCCCTGCAGCAGTATCAGCAGCAACAGCAGCAGCAGCAACAACAACAGCAGCTACCTCAAGCTCCCCCACCACAACATCCACCTCAGCAAACTCTTTACAACGTCCCACATCAGGTACATACACTCACTCTCATCCACACCTCCTCTTTTACTTCGCCTCTTAGCTTTTCCAAAGTCCTAGTTTTTTTTATCATGAAAGTTGTCTGTATTGTTCATTGTGATTTCTTGTGCATACCACATGGTCATGGGTTTGATTCCAAGAGAATGTATGTGCTAGTAGATTGCACTGCAAGTCTCTTTGGATAAAAGAGCCTGTCAGGTGTATAAATGTATACATCATGACAGATTAACTTAAAGAGCTGCAGTCAGCACAGTGGTTACTCTAAAGAGGGCAAGTGCTGCAGTGCATGAGTGCCTTTATGCATTATTTAACTAGCAGGACTCTCTTCCAGTCTTAGTAGATGTGGTTGGTTCTGAAATTGAATTCTAGAAATGTATTCAAAATTGACAGTAAAGACATTGATAATGCTACTAAAGATTTCTATTTTAAATCAGGGATGCACCAATGTCACTTTTTCCAGTACTCTCCCGATACCGATACTTTTATTTTTTGTACTTGCCGATACCAAGTACCGATGCCGATATTTTTATTGCATTTGTAAAAATTTTAAATATTGGGTACAGAAACAAAAAGAGTATGTATAATGTTAGTTGGTTAACTTCATTTATCAAATAGATACAGTCAAACCAAAATTTATTCAGACACCTTCAACTTTTCTCACATTATCACAGTTTATTCGCTATAGTTTAGAAAATTGTAATAAAATAGGACAAGAACTCAGAGTTAAACTGTGTCAGAACAAATTCAGCTTGATAATGTTAGATAACTTTGATAGAAAGGCATGTAATGGATTACAATCAACCCAAAATTATTCAGACAGCTGTTAGTATGACAGTATTTACACAACTATCAATACTTAGCCAGGCAACCTTTAGCCTCAATATCACTGTATGAAGAATTTTTGGGTATAGTATATCACAGTTTACTTTATTTTGCTATCCTCACTTACATAAATGAACTATAGTGTCCTGCACCCACTAGTAAAAAAATATAAAAAATTATATCTGGTCTCTGAATAATTTTTAAGGGTGAAAATAAATGACGTTTATAGTGAATGCCCCTATAAATTGTCTTATATTTATGATTTAGTTTTAATCCAAATGATGCGTGTGCTAAGTGAGTGAACATCAAAGATCACACAACAGAAGTGCGCACGCTCTCTCTCTCTCTGTCTCTCTCTCTCTACCTACCGTTAAGTAACTTGTGCATTGTTTACTTACTTGTTTTTGACATATCCGACCAAACTACAAACTTTCCAGTGATGTCTGTGAGAAAGGGATATTAACTCGACAAGCTTGCGCATGTGCGTCGCTGCGCGCTCAACCCACTCTGTGTGCTTTGCTTATCAGCTCGCACACGTCAGCTATACAGGCGTTAATACTGAATTTGAACATTATGTTCATTGCATACATATACTTCGTAGACATCCTTAATCTCTAATAACCATTCTGCTGTCTGTTGTTCTGTTGTCGGTGTTTCTTTGTCTGAATACGGCACTTATCGCATGCTGTGTGGTATCGGGGCATTTTAACGAGTACGAGTACAGGAGCTCAGTATCGGGGCCCGATACCAATACCAGTATCGGTATCGGTGCATCCCTATTTTAAATAAAAGCTTTTCTTTTTGAACTTCTTTTTGAAATTTTTTTGTGTTTTCTTTATTTCTCACAGCTTCCACAACCCCAACAAGCCCTGCTATCACAGGTACACTGTGTTTCCAAATTCTGCATATGCATCACATATTTCACGTATTTTTCTTGCAAAGCACACCTTACTATTTTTAAATGTGTAAAATAAAGCAAGAGATCCTTATTAAATCTGTATCGGAGCTTTGAAATTTTTTTTTTTTGTCCATGTGGTAAAGTTCAATTGTGAGTGAACCTGCTGTAACACAAGACAAATTTCAGACTTTGTCTGACAATAAAGTTATATTGTATCATATCATATCATATTGTAACATTGCCAGCTATGAGCAGTTTATGTTCTAACCCTTGTGCGGTGTGTATTTTGCAGCCCCCTGTTGCCTTGCCCACCTGCCTGAGCCTGTCCAACCCGCAGCAGACGGCACAGATAACCGTATCCTACCCAAACCCGCGCTCCAGCCACCAGCAGCAGACCCAACCCCAAAAGCAGCGTGTTTTCACCGGGGTCGTCAGCAAGCTACATGATACTTTCGGCTTTGTCGATGAAGATGTCTTCTTCCAGCTCAGGTGCATTATATTGTAAATGTGCAGTTGTAGTTGAGAGATTTAAAGATCAGGTGTGTAATTTCTGTTTGTTTTGTGTAGTGCGGTTAAGGGGAAAACACCCCAAGTCGGTGATCGTGTTCTGGTGGAAGCTGTCTACAATCCCAACATGCCTTTCAAGTGGAATGCCCAGCGCATCCAGACGTTACCTCAACTGCCCAACCAAACGGTAAGCAAACCCACGTGGTCTGAAAGGATCCCTGGCAGATACAGTCTGATATGGTTCTGCCTCCACAGTGTTTCATGATGCTGCTGTTGATTCCTGTGTTCTTAATCTCCATGTAGCACCAGCCGCCTCAGCCCTTACCTCAGGTTTCCCCACAGCTGTCCAGCTTTTACTCTGAAGCAGGAATGCAGCGCTACTCTGACATACACTCTGCGGTGGATTCAAGACAAAATGTAACCCACGCCACTTGACCCCTGCGCCCCAAATGCCTATTCTCTACTCCTCCTCCCCTTTGTCTTCTGCTTGATCTGCTCCTCCACTCTCCTGTTTCACAAACAGGCTTTAGTCATATGTCCTTGGGTTTCTTTCCTTCCACCCAAAACGAGTATCTGTTGATGCTTTTTCACCCTTCCCTGTATTACAGCTCACAGCTTGCGTGTTGGATTTGTAATTAAACATTTTTCTCGCAATCCATAGATTCCATCTTTAGCTAATCAGCACCTGCTGTGTTATTAATGCACTTTGTCTTGCGGGGGGGGGGATGTTGTAGTCATATGTTTTGTTAAGTTACATTTTTGTAATTACCCAAACGAATTATTTAATTACATTTTAAATTTTTTTTAGAGTTTCATACAAAAATTTCAGTAGTCCAAATACCAGAAATTTTACCTTTTTATAATGATTCTTAATACTAATTAGAAATAAACTAATTATGAATAAATTAAAGGGGTCATATGATGCTATTTTAAAGATAATTTTTTTGTGTATTTGGTGTAACAGAATATGTTGACATGCTTTAATGTTCAAAAAACACATTATATTTCAAATACTGTCCATTATTGTCAGTGGCGGCTTGTGGGTTTTAAAATAGAGGAGGCACACTAATTGTATTGGTCTGGGATCCCTGCCGATTATTATTATTATTATTATTTGCTTAACCACTTTATAATGGCTTTTTGGTTGCTTTTAGTCAGAAAACGTAAAGAAAACGACATACATACAGCAAGATAATATAATTTCACTTACCTGGCCTATCACTTGAAGCAAACATCCATCCCTTCTTAAAAGTCTGTGTTAAAAGAGAGCTGCCTGTTGCGCCATTTAATTAAGCCGACTGCTGTAGCCTATATCCAGCTTAGGCTGTTTTCCCTAAATTTGTATATTGTATATATACTGTTTGAATGACAGCATGGTAAATCTGTTGGCGATCAAATATTAAATATCGCTACTCAAGTGACATAGACATGTGGGGGCGTGTTAGAACGAGCCATTTTAGGAGGGCGTGGTTGACTCTTAACTTTTATAAAGAATATCTCTTTGGATTTGAGACTTTAGTCTTTGCAACTTTACAGATCTTCTTTATGCACCAAGAGCTTGTAACACTCCAAAGAGAAAGGAAAACTTGAAATCGCATCATATGACCCCTTTAACCTAATTACAGAATTGAAGGTTAAATATTAAACTAAAAATTAAAATAATGGCACGTGGGTGCAAATATTTTAATTAAGTTTTTATAAAGTAAAGAACAATGAAAGACTGGTATTGTTACTACTGCTGCTTTTGTATTATTTTATTTTTTTTAAACCTCATAGTGAATTACCTGTACTTTTGACATCTGTACACCTGGACACAAATGTCACACTGAGCAGGTGCATGATGATAAAGCAAATGCAGACTGCTGTCTGTTTTGTTATATGTAACTAACAATATATGTGAGACATTGTCTCCTTTTGAAATGCCCAGAATGCTTGCCTTTTTTCTTTTTCATTTTTTCTTTTTTAAAGAAAGTGCCTTTTGAAAGCAAGACTTTAAAAAATCTATTCTGTTTCTTAATAGGGGCCAAAACCAGCAAATGGTAATAGCAGTGCTTCTGCTTCCTCTGTCTCCAGCTATTTCTAACCATTTATTTTCTTTTCACTGGGTTTAGTGCTCCTAGATTACTCATTTAGGCACATTTTCCACCCATCCTATAAAACAGGTTATCTAAACATTATGTATTGGATTAATGTTATTTATTTAAAGTCTTGTTTTTTATAGCCCCTAGCTGAAAGCTGTCGTTATCGTTTTGATGAATTGAATCAATGTGCAGTAATGTGTTTGTGTTTAGACAATAGATGTTGGCTTGGTGTCTGCAGAGCTAGGCGATGTTAATTGAATTTGTCATTTTTATCTTGTATTTGGTATATTTTCGTATTTAAATATATATATACGGCACTGTTCAAAGGTTTGTGGTGGGTACAGTTTTTTAAATGGCTTTAAAAAATGTTTTTTTATGTTCACCAAAGCTGCATTTATTTGAATAAAATTGCAGTAAAGGCAGTAATACGTTTTTCTTTTTAAATGTCTTTTTTTTTTCTTTTTAAATTTTAAAATGTAATTTATTCCTGTGATGGAAAAGTTGAATTGTCATCTTTGATTAATAGAAAGTTCAAATAAATTTTGTGAAAATAACAGAATTTTTTGGAACATTATAAATGTAATTTTTGATCAATTTAATGCCTGCTTGCTGAAAATAAGATTTAATTTATTTAAAAATAGTAGTATAAATTCAGTTAGTTAAAAAAACAACAACAACAGTGTTAGATTAGTTGAAATTTACTACCTTTATTTACCTTTATGTCTTTTGAGACATTTTAGCTTGAACACATGTACTTTGAGATCTTTAACAGACATCTGATCATCTATGTTAGAACATATCTCTGTCTGTATAGTTTTAACTATGTAGCCCAACTCTAGCCTTAAGCACTACTTAATCAAAATTATGTAGTGATTTTGCACCATAAAATTGACGTTTGTACATACTAGCAAACCCAACTCTTTTGTTCCATCTCTTTTGTTTTTTCAGAGCCAGCCGCCAGGCCCAAACATGATGAAACCAGGTCCCACCATGCTGCAGTCTCTACCCCCGCCCACCACGTTCAGCGTCCCGGCCCAGGGACCTCCTCCATCTCTTCTGCAGGCCCAGCTCTCAGCTGCTTCTCTGGCCCCACTGCTGCAGAATCCCCCACAGCCCCTGCTACCCCAGCCTCTCCCTAAAGGTTCATCAAACCCCTCCAACCTTTCACAGAGTCACTCTTTTACAGAATCAAATCTGATCTCCCATCTCTCTCTCTGCCATGTGTAGACTCTGTGTTCTCAGGGGGTTTGCTGCAGCCCCCGGTGCGGATGATGCCTCAGCCGCAACAGGTGAGGCGTGTGGACCCCTCACCCCGCTTCCCCAGCCGCAGTGACCGACCAGAACTCATCCTGAGGAAGGATGACCGCAGGTCAGCACGCATGCATACAATCAAGTATAATTGCTTCAGCAGTTTAGTCTGAAAATATTGGATATTGTCTTTGTTGAGTCTTTATTTGCTGTACATGCTCATGCTTTATTTTGCCTGTGTTTGTGTAGTCGGGAAAGAGATAGAGAGCGAAGGAGATCAAGAGAACGTTCACCCACACGGAAGCGTTCTAGAGACCGGTCGCCTCGCAGAGAACGCTCTCCAAGACGGCCACGCAGAGTCGTCCCAAGATATACTGTGCAGTTCTCCAAATTCTCTCTCGATGGGTAAGTTAATTGTTGTAAAGGAAGAATCTTGATGACTTGTTGTAAATTAAACAGACTTTTTTGGATTCGTTTATTGTCATTCATCCTAGACATGGAAGAATGAAAAGGTGTTTCTCTACAATTATGTTTCTCTGGTAATAATTTAATAGCAATGCCGTACAGTATATGTAGAGATCTGCAAACAGATTAGACAATAAACAATACAGTATATAGGGTTTGGTTTGTCTTCTAACAAAAAAAAAAAAAACTATAGGTCAATACCAATTAAAATCACTCATTCACTTATCTGCCTATTGAAACTGTTGTTATTGTTGCATTCAGTCATTGATATCAAAGTTGCCATTAAATCAAACTTGACAGTTCTTATTTTATAATGGAATTAAGTTATTTAAAATTATGGAATTAATTCTTTTAAACTCACATACACATCTCTTCAGTGACGTGTTCACAGGCGCAAGGGTGGGATGATATTCACTCCCCTCCAGCAGCCTGTTATTACCATGAGATCGCAGCCATAGCAAATGCCAATGATCCAGTCGATTAACAATGAACCAATTTAAATGCCTCCCTACATTTTTTCTTGTTTGAGAAGCTGGATATATGTCAATAGGAATAGACAATCACAACTTCCGTTTCATGAAAAAAATTAGGCATCACTGGATTGGATTTATTAGTTGGATATATACATTCATCTGAAAAGTAATTAAATCTGACCTTCACGGACACTAAACTTGCATTAAGAGCACCACAGAATCAAAAGAAACGCAGAGATCTTGGAGTCTGCATTCATAAGTTTTATGATGCACTTTTTAGTGTTGTTTAGATGTATGTTTGGTATATGACTGTCTCTATTCTCATCAGTTGCAACTGTGACATGATGGAGTTGCGGCGGAGGTATCAGAGCCTCTACATCCCTAGTGACTTTTTTGACGCTGTGTTTACCTGGGTAGACGCCTTTCCCTTAAGACGACCTTTCAACTTTGGAAACTACTGTAACTTCCACATCATGCATAAAGAGGTGGACTCTTTGTTGAAGAACACGTCTGTGCTGGACCCACCTGATGCCAATCACACCTACAGTGCAAAGGTAATGCCCCCAGATATGGTCATCATTTTTGAGTAATTTATTGTCAAATTCTTTTTCAGAATAATGCTTCTTACCAGATTTCATTGAGTGGTTTTTGGCAGTCATGATTAATGTTGATGGTTGTTATAGGTAATGCTGCTGGCCAACCCTAGTCTAGATGAGCTGTATCATAAGTCGTGTGCTCTGGCAGAAGATCCACCAGAGCTGAGAGACTCCTTCCAGCACCCTGCCCGCCTCATCAAGGTACAGCTCTCTGAATTATACTACTAACAGCAGCAAACGGACTGGGTTTGTGTAATCAGCTTGTTACGTAATCACTAACTTACGTGATATTTTACGAAAATTGTTTTGCACTTATGCTGTAGTATTTCACAGGGATGGACAACATTACTGTGTCGGTGACCGTAGCTGTTATTACTATGAACCCTTTTCAAAAACTGTGACGATACATTTCCACAGTTAATAACGTCAAAAAACGATTTTATTTTTTTTTATTTAAAGGGATACTATTATGCTCTTTTACAATGTCTTGAAACGCATTATTTTTTATATAATTTACATTATTACAATACCTTTCTCCCCAGTCTGGCACAAACGGCTCGATTAGTTCCGGGTTTAATGAAGGCCCGCCTTCCGAAAAACTAATTGTGATGTGATTGGTTAGCTGTCCCAGTGCGTTGTGATTGGCGAAAAGCTTAGACGGTGTTTCAGTACAGCCCCGCCCCTTGCCAAAGCAGCAAGTT